GGCATTACGCTGATTCTCTTTTTGTGCTGTGAAGTACTTTAATACTAATGGATACATTACTGACTACTGTTAGCTGCTTAATATTTTCCTATCCACTAAAAGCGAAGAGCAAACTGTTGCTATGTGCATTCAGTTTATTCACTCTTCCCCCTCCACAAATGTTCATACACACACAAGGGAGAAACACATACAGACACATGCATCCTTGTTATTAATTACTGATTGAGAAAAAGAAATATGCAGGCAGATATCTCACAGTTCTTGAGCACATATCAGCTGCTGGATAAGTAAATTTTACTATAAGATAAAACAGCATACTGGATAAATTAGTCCTACTGGAAAAATCTTTATGCATTTGACTCCAAGAAAACAAACACAGCTGTGATTTTCCTGAGAAGAGATACATCTTTATCTGGATCACAGCTAAGCATTTAAGCTTTTAGTGGCATGGGCCTGAAAACCTAACATATTTAGGAGATGCAGTTTTTCACTCTTGCTTTTAACAAGCTCATTCAAGGACACTGTTCTTCCTTTACGCATTTTAGATCATCTTACCTGAGGACTGCAAAGTATCAGGACTATAGTGCCTTATTCTAAATCCCCCTTGTGGTCTAATTTTCAGTGCTTGGACACTTCACTGCAATGAAAATCATTGCAAGTCAGCTGTCATTATCAGCCAGCCATCCTCATTGTCCATTACCCAGTGAGGCCTTTGAAAACACTACTTGACATTTTTCTGCATCTTTGGATGGCCACTTTCCTTAAAAATTTCACTCCTGGCCTTAAATTTCCCCTTGTCTACACTTGGAAGAAAAATAGGCACGAAGTCGAAGAAAGACCAGGAACAGTTAAAGCTCCTTCCCTGTATTGCCATCATTATTAATCTGATCCCTCATGGCACTTCTATTGCAGTGCTTCAGGATTATTCAAGAAATCTAGTGAAAATGAGATAAATCAGTGTGCTTTTTTTCCCATGTTGTCAGCTCATTTCCCATTGAGTTTAATGATACATTTTTCATCATATTTGCAATTAAATAATATCTGTGGGATTTATCTGAATTACAAGGCATTTCTGGAATGAAGCTTAGTCTTAAAATGTGGCAGAAGGGAGATGTAATCTTCCAGTAGTTTGCATGAAGGAGTTCTCTATGTGAGCATAACTTTACATTCCAGTGAAAAAAAACCCAAAAGACCCCCACAACTTTCAGTTTACATTGACAAGAGGAGTTCATTTAAGCACTTCATAAAATGTCCAGAAACAGGCCCAAGAAGATAAATCAAATAGCAGTACAGTTCACTCAAAAAACCCCCCAAAACTAAAGCCAGTTTATTCATAACCTCATATCTGGGTTTCCTATATGAATTTTCTGTATGGAGACGTCTTCCCATGTCCATCTTTAATGCAGGTTCAGCTGTAAAGGATATTTTGTTTTCCCACCTCACCACAGTAGGCACCTACAGTGCCTGGTAGAGAATTAACAGAGAAGTTCTTGTTTAAACACTAATCTCAGTCATGGTGCCCTTGATGTCCTATTTTGCACATCTTCAGTTTTCCCTTTTCCAAAACCAGCTGAGCTAACAAAGAAAGCTTTAAAAACACCCTTTGAAAGAGCATAATATCATCTTCTATTATGCTCAAAACTCATATGATCAAGTGGAACAAAGCACAATCCTGCTTTCTGAAAACTGTAGCTGCTCTCTATATTACTGCAATCTCATGTGACTTGAGCCTCATCAATGTAGGACCAGATAAGGCTCAGAAGACGGATCAAAAGATCCAGCTCTGACTGCAGAAAGTTTACTCTGTGAAGTTGGAGTTTTACCGAGTTTGTAGCTAATACTTTTCATATCTATGACAACAAAATGTGCAGTATTATTTAAATCAAGTTGATTAAATTTTGGGTTGAATAAATCGTGGGAAATTACTCCTCCCCTGCTCCAGTGGGTGGTTCCATACTTCTTGCAGCAATAAGTGACTTTGTTTGGGATTCCTCGAGACAATCCTTGTTTACAGCCCATTGTTTACCATTTACTGGCTGTGTAGACAGTGTGCACAGATTTCAGAAAATGTTACCTTATTAGCTGCTTTGTTTGTGAAATCCATTCTGTTTTCCTTGCCCTAATAAGCAATTCAAACAGATGGAGAGAATTTATTTCATGGCATATGTTTAATTAAAGCAACTGAGGTCGTCATGGCTTCTTCACCTCATCACGAGTTGAATTCACAATAGAAAAGACTCCTCCAGGATTTTTTGGAAAGAATTCAGTTGTGGAGGTAAGACTATACAATCTGTTCAGCAGCACAATTTATCCCAGTCCAACAGGATGCCCGTTTGGAAAAGGGATTATTCAGAAATACTTTTGCTCATTGGGATGGAGTTGAACCTCATGGTGGTGGGTAGTAACCTGATGCTTTTCATCTGCTCCCACTGGATGAAAGATGATCTGATGTGTCCAATGTAGGTTTAGTTTTCCTGAAGAAGTGCAAAAACTTTTCAGGTAATCCCAGTTACATGTCATGAGTATTCATAGTCCTACTCTAAATTCAGCACTGCAAATACTTGTTTAAAAGCCATGAATTCCTAAGCTAAAAGCAGTTTGCCAGTGCTCCACATCCTCAATGTGAAAACAGAACAGCAAGAACATTTTCTATGTTTTCTTTTTCAACAGGATTTTTTCTATGAAATAATTCTTGGTTGGTAAAACTAATCAAAACACTTTAAAAACATACAAATATATAAAATTATAACATAAATAGATGCATTAAGACTTTTATGATGCCAATTAGTGAAAATTGAGTATTGGCCTTGAACCCTTCCAATGCATTTGCAATATGCAACTGTGAAATCCCAGTGAAAATGAAGTCCTTTAAAGTGGCAATAGACTGAAAGAGATGAGTGTACAGGCACAAGAAGTGCATGGCACTTCAACTGAGGCCATACTGAAACAACCCTTTAAAGAAAGACACATGTGAAGCAGTCTCCTAGGTCTTCATAAGGAGAGCTTTTAGGTGTTTAGGCACAGAGGGGTAGAGGTGTTTTAATGTGATTGGGATTCTTTTGTTTGATTGGGGTTTTTATTTTTTTTGTTGTTGTTGTTTTTATTGCTGTTGTTTCATGTTTGTTTGTTTTTTGTGTTTTTTTGGGTTTTTTTGGTAGGCATTTTCTTTACTCTTTCCCTGCCCTCCCCCTCTTCTACTCTGTTACAATTAATTGCAGTAAATTAAATTAATTTCCCCAAGTTGAGTCTGTTTTGCTTCTAAGGGTAATTGATAAGTAATCTCTCTATCTTAACCCATGATAATTTCATTATATTTTCTTCACCTGTCCTGTTTATAGAGTGGGAATGATAGAACACTTGGGGGCCAGCCAAGGTCAACCCACCCCATAAATTAATCTCAATCCTGATCTCACTGAGAGCTCATTTAATCAGCAATTGTCATCTTTTCTATTTCCATTTAATATTTTCTTCCTAAGACTTCCTTTATTATTATTCACAGCATTGCTGTGCTTTGTGACAGCAGCCTTAAAGGCTGTGTAGTAAAGGGTTTAATTGAAAAGTTCTGTGAAACAAAAGATATTCTGGAAATACTTTTTCATTTCAAATGAACTATGACAACTAATTGTTTGGTTTCAATAAAGCAGTTACTGAAGGTTAATTGCTAGCTGATAAAAATATGTGAGCAGGAAGGAAAAATGAGCCTGGTCACTATCGAAGAGTGATACAATATTATAGACGTAACATGTTAAAACTATGGATTAAATGTTTGCACTTGGAAATAAATAGACAATTATTAATTCATTAAACAGAATTTGTAACAATGCTCTCCAAGTTAAAGTGACACAGATATGCCACATGTAGATGAAAGAAGTCCAGCAGGAAACCAATTGAAAATTGCCAAAATATTTCATTTTTTTCCCAGTGCATTCCAGTACTTGTAAAACAATTAAATGAACCTGAAAATTTTGGAGGTTTTTAATTATGGTTTGTGTAGGTTGCTCTTAGTAAAGTAAGTACTGACTTGAACTTCTGGTGCTGCGCTGTCGGGAGTGTTTCAGACTGTCCAAGTCACAAAGTCCAGTTATACATATCCAATTATTCCATGAAAAGATGAGTCTCTGAGAAGAACCTGGAGTTGACTGTCCTCTCTCTCTGGAACAGAAAAATAACCAATTTCATGAAGGAAAAATATTACATCCCTTGAAGGTAGAATATTATGTCCATATTTATTTTCTATTCCAGTACCATGGACAAATGAAAGGGTATGTTAAAATTTTGTCATTGAAATGCATAATTATGGAAAAAAATGGTCTGCTGAGACTTTGTCACTGAGAAATAGTAATTACACAGCTGATATTACAGTGCTTGTAGAAAAAACCTGTCTGGGATAATAGAGCAGCATTTCACTGCTGTAGATTCTAACATCTTGAAACAGGAATATGAGAGACACTGAAAAATTTGCAGTTTACTTCCTTCAGATCCCTTTCAATGCATCTCTTTTTTCAAAGAATGTTTTCTCAGTGAAGTGGGGTAAAAAATGGAGTTCTTACTGGTTTTCCAGATAGAAATCTTACTTTATAGTGGCATATTCCCAATGACAGCAACAACAACAACAACAATGAACATGTATTTTTTTCTACTAAACTAAAGTGAGCTGAATTCTAACTGCAATATATTGACCCAAGGAAAATTTTTTTCTTTATCCTAGCTACAGAGAATCAAATCTTTGTTGCACATTCAGTAACAAAACCAGCCTGGCTGGTCAAAGATATCCAGAAGTGAAAGTTTTGTTGTGTTTATTAAACCATTCCCAATACTGGGATGTCCAGGGAGACTTCTTTTGGAAAACCCTACAATGGTTAATTGTGCATGCACTGCTGATTTTATGTAACAGGAACAACAGCGAAAGGTGATTTTTCAATGCATACAGACAAAAAAATAAGGTCAAGCAAAGCAAGATGGACAGCATGCTGAAGAGAAAAGACAAAGTTCAGAGTTGGAATTCTCTTTCTCTTGGCTATACCTGCATAAAAATTGTGGAGGAATGGCCATATTTTGGTTGATGGAAACAGTTCACTGGACCCATTCAGGTTTAGGTTTCCTCTGCTGCAAGGGGCCCTTGGGTATCTCAGGTGTTTCAATCACACCACTGAAACACAAATTCAGCCACAGTTTGTCTTCAGAAAGTTTGCAGTTCACCAAGGGAAGCTCTCCAGATTCACGCTGGGAATCAGCACAGTCTTGGAAGACATTTGGGGCCAACTACTCATAATGTTACACCTTGGACACAAAGACATAGACCCAGTCCTACCTTTTTCCTGTTGCAGTTTTAATGCACCTCAGAAACTGGCCTTAAGAGGTTATCTGACTGCCTCCATTTGGCCTAATGGCTGTATTTTCTGTGTCTGTTAGGCTTTTTTTCTTTCCACCACCTGTTTTCATCATACTCTGAGATAAGCTTTAAGACAAAACATTTTGAGGAAATCACATCTGCATTGGCCATTCGGCTCCCCTGCTGTCTTCTCCAGCACCTCGAGGTGTTCCTGTGCATATGGGTATTTATGTTGATTTCACTTGTTTTGGTGGCCTCTGAAAGTGAAGTCCCTCTGTACAGAACATCATGACTGAAAAAAGGAAAAAGGATGCAGCTTTGTTCATGTCAAGATCTTGGATCTTTTGAGTATTATGTGTGCTCAGAGAAGTGAAATGTTGCTTGAAACTGGCCCTATAATGAGAACAATGAGAGCTTTGATAAATGGCCTGTCCCATTATCTTGCCACTTTTACAAGCACAGTAGCATAATTACCTCAAATGCATGAGTGAGAAATAAGAATATTTCAACCTCAAGCAGGATAACATGACGTACTGGGCCATCCATAGTTTGATTACCAGAATAGAAATATTTCTCTTCAGTTGTTGGAGAGAAGAAAAACTTGTGCTACTCCCTTTTAGATGTTCACCTCTTCATAAATTTTTGTTACTTCTGTTAAAGACTTGAGACAGAGGAGGCAGCTGATGTAAATAACCAATGGATAAAGTTCTCTTGGTTTCACCAGACTCTGGTCTCAAGCCTGATGTCTCACCTGCCCTTGCCTGTAGGACTCCATTAATCCTAATTTATCCCAGTAAAAGGCAGGCCAGAAACCAAATTAAGTTTGTATAGCTGCTGCTGCATGATTTGTGTAGGAGTGCAATGCAGCTCTTCACTTTCTGTTGCGTAAGATTTTTTTTCTCTCTGCTACTGCTTTCTGTACTTCTGCAGTGCTCATATATTTGAGACAAAGATTGTTATTTTTTCCTAGTTGAGTTAAAATTAATCAACAAACTGATGATCTAAAACCAAAGCACTGTTTATATTTTACCTGAAATGCACTAAAGCTATAGGTCAAGATCTTGTTGCAGTGATTTGCACACAGAAATATGATTTAACACCTTCACATATATGAGTGAAGCATTATACGGAAAAGGAGGCAGCTGAAGCAACCTTAAGCTAATGGGAAAATTAGAAGTAAAGTAATCTCACTGCCTATACATCCAAACAGTTATTAAAGTGTAATACTTTCCACAAAGAATGTTTTACAGAATATACAGTCTGTGTGAGAATTGTGGCTGGAGCTGCAACCCAGAATAAAAAAAAACCCAACCAAACACAATGCGTCTTTCTCCTCAGAAAACCCCTTAATCCTCCAGAAAGGCTCCAAACCTCTCTACTTTTTATCAGTGTCTCAGTAATAAAACAAAAGAAGCTGGTTTCTCCAGCATCCTTAAAAGCTTGGGGGTTCTGCAGGAACTCTTTGTACTGCTCATTTAGCAAGTTTTCCATTTTTCTAGCCAGTGTTAGAGAAGAAAATGCATCCAAGACTTGCTTTTTAGCTGTTGCAGCAGTTTTGTATGTTATTTTTCTTACGAATGCAAATCTACAACAAGGAATTGATTATTACATTACACAGCATTCTCCTATACCTGGGCTTCATCATATGAACAGTTTATAAGAGGACACTTCTGATTTGGAGTTCATTATAACATCTATGAAAGAGAGGTGCCAAATCCAGGGTCAGGTCTACTCAAAGATGCAAAAACTTGTTTTAAGGCACACCATATTTTCTCAAGCTCTTCATGTATTTCTTGTGATACCAACAGCCATTCACGTTCCATTTCAACACCAGCTCTACATTACCTGAGTCTTCTTTGCTTTCTGACACCTTTCTTCACCTTTGTTCTCTTCCGAGGAGAGATCAGGCAGAAGTGACAGCTTATACAGTAGATTTGTCTGGGTGAGAAGTCAGTTATATTTTTGCACTTATCTTTCATGATCACTTTTTAACTAAGCAGCCCAACATTCATTCCTATGCTTATCTAATATGTTTATGCAGCTTGCAAATGAATACCCAACCTGCTTACAAGGTTTGTAGCTGTGGGAAACGACTGGATGGTAGGCCTTGAATTTGAGCAGTTGCAGCTGTGAAGTTGCAAAGAATGTAAACAATCCAGAATGAGAAAGCAGATAAGGAGAAAAACTGCTGTAAATAACAGGTGCTGTTTTTGAGATTTGCCAGCATACAAAGAAGTGTCAACCACCTATCAAAAGATAAGTTTAGACGCATGAACAGAAGTTCCAATAGTAAGTTGACATGGATATGGCCTGATGTATGTGTTCCAATAGAAGGTTGACAAGCGTATGGTGTGATGTATGTTTACATGAAAGTACCAAAAACAGGTTGACATGTGTATTGTATGAAAAGTATAAATATCTGTAACCTGTTGCAAGAAAGTTGCCTTGTGCCTTGCCTTGTACCTTATGCCAAGTGCCTGCTTAATTGCTGTCTGAGTGCATTCTTGGCCATCATCATGTAGCTACCAAAAGAAAAAAACTTTAATATCAAATTCTCTAAATAAATACATTTGCTTACAGTTTTCTAGCTCATGTTTTATCTGCTACAAATTCCCCTTACTCACTATAGTTACACCTTTTTCTCATGGAGATTGTATTTCACCAATGCCTATGCTTATCCTCTTTGTTCATGAGAGTATTTGCATTAATTTGTCAACCATACAGGGCCTGGATTTTGGAACCTCTGGTGAAAACATGCCAGAAGGTTTTGCACTGTTATGGCGACTAAACTCCCTAGTACTGGAATAAATGGCAGTATGAGCAGACAGTGCTACAAAGCTAGAAAGTATTCTGAGCTTTTTGCAGATGAAGAACTTGTCTTTTAGACATGAAACAATTTGCAATACACAAACAACTTACCTTTGTGAAAGCCATTCTGATATCCAGTGAAGAAGCCATTCAGCCTTTATGAAAGAGTGGAGGAACAACTCCATGTTACTTACTCAAGTGTTCCCTATGAATATTAATATGAAGTGTGAGTTTATATACCTCTATGAAGATGCAGAAAAATTTCCCTGAGTTTTTGTTTGCTTCTTGACGAATGAAGGAGAGCATGAGGATGTACATTTTGGAACAAGTCTAAGACAATTAAATACATGGTTCAGATCTGGATAAGACAAGAATACACTGTGAGTAGTAAACTCCCTGGGCACTTCCCTTAGCAAAAATACAAAAGAATTTGAAGGAAATGTTTGATTGATGACATTTTTCAACCAAAATTGTTCATGATAACTGACTCAGAATTATGAAAGTTATACATGACAAAAAATAGCAGTACCACGCACAAAGTGTGTTTACAGTATTCACACAGCAAATCTCCAACCTCCATGGTTAAGTGCAAAAGTCTGTATTTAAATGTCATCTTATAGCAAAGGGCAGGACAGACAGATGATATAGTCTTAGTCCATGTCAAAGCATTGCAAGGAAAATTACTGCAAATCCATGTCTACTGATTACATTAATATCCAACTTTGCAAGTGTAATCTGCCACTTTAGCTCATGAGGCTAATACCACCTTTCAGGACACAACCTGTGTATAGTTCCCAGGTTTTTCTGCAAAGCGGAGACCTTATGTAGTCTTCTTCCATGTACAGCCAGCTGCCTGGTTGGTTTGAGAGTAATGTATGTTTGTGTGTGAAGGTGGGTGAACTGAAATCAAGTACAAAATACAGTTTGGCATAAACACACTGTTTTAGCTAGACAACTTTATCTCTTCTGTTCTTAAACAATGTAATAAAAAGATACCAATTCATCAGTAGCACTTTTTTTAGCAGCTTGTTGTTGTTGTTGTTGTTCTGTTTGGGTTCTTTTCCCCAGTTTTCACACTATTCCCAGGTTTCAAATCTGTTATAATTTGAAAGCAAATCTTTTCTACATACTACTCCTCCTTACAGCAAAGATTTGGGACTGAGTATCAGTTACAGCCAAAATTCATCACTATTATGTCAAAATACCAGGCCTCAAGTTTAACAAAAATAAACACAAAGTTCCTAGTAATAAGCAAACAAAACATGTAGACAGAAATCCCAAGCTAATGCTCATTTTCTCAATAAAACTAATGACTGGGAAAATAAGATTCCCACCTACCTTGTATTTTTCAGAAGGAATTTCAATGCTTTAGAGAAAAGCTATAAATCTAAAGTATTTTTGGTCAATGAATGATATAGTTCACTTCTGTTATTAACAAGACTTCTCATAAAGCTGCAGTTTGGATACTTTTCTGGCACTTTTCAAGTTTCTTACACAGGATTTTCTTTAGTACAGGAGATACCAGTCACACCTTTCATCTAACTTGTTAGCTTCTCTGTCTTGAGACAGCATGTGAGACTTAAAAACGGTGATCTGAATAAAGCACAGGTATTTTTAAGCTGGACTACAAATGTGGATTCCTGTATCTACCTGGATACAGTCTCTTTTGTAGTTTATTGCTCAGCCACCAACTGTAGGAGGCGTGTCCAAGGGTGCAGGGGGACACACCAGGGGCAGTGAAGCCCAAGGAGCATGCGCTGAAATAGACAACCCCATTGGTCACAAGGTCACATGGTTTTAAGGGATAAAAAGGGCGCCGAGTTTGAATAAAGCCTCTTTGATTACCATCCCATCGAGGAGCTGACTGCATTTCTTTATTATATAAAGACCCACGCAACACGTGGTGACCCGAACTGGGGCTTAGAACCTACATTAGGCTAGATTAGAATACCCTGAATCAAGAGAATATCAATAAATTCCAGCTATCGTATCAATTCTGTGGATATGGGAATTTTTCACCGAAAAAACCTAGATGTCTATAAGTCGTTGTCTCAGCTGAACCTGAGAAATGCAAGTTAATATAGTGAGCTCAAAAAATATTAGGGAAAAGTGCACGGGAACAGAGAAAAAGAAGAAGGAAGAAAAGAAGAATAAGCCGAGAAACTGGGATGGCAGCCGGAGAGAGCGGAGCAGGGTACAACATCTGCCGGAGCGGTGAGTGAGCTGAGAAGCAGTGCTAGCACCAAACATCACGGCCGAAGCTGCTCCCTGAGCGGCATCCAGCCCCGCGGCTCGAAAAAACTCGAGCGGCAGAGCACACTGAACCCTGCCAGGAGCCCTGCCGCCCGCCGCTGCCATGCCTAAGCTGTGCGTGCAAAAAGCGGTGCCGCTGCTACCCGAACACCCCCAGCCCCTCCGCCAGACCTTGCAAACCCCGCACTGGCACACCTTTCTGCCCAGCGGAGAAGCGCCACAGCTGTGCTACCTGCCGCCCTCCAGCATTCTCCCGCCTCCTCTGCTGGCCCTGCGCCCACGCTAGAAGCCACGTTAGACCGATAGATGCCGCACTGTGACCCCACCAGCACCCGGAGCCCCTGCACCGCCCAGCAGACTGTGGGAGCCCGCAACCACCTTCTGCTGATCCGTGCGTGCCTGCAGCCACCGCGGGCAGCCTCTACACCGCGGAACAAGCCACCAGGACCACCGCACACTGTCAGAGAACTTCACACCGCGCGACCGCCACCGCAGCTACCACTGTCTGCTGCCGCCTGCCGCTGCCCCCAAGCCACCGGAGCAGCAGCCGAGACCCATGGGATCAGTACACCGGGCTCTGTTGCAGCAATCAGGGGGGTAACCCAGCATATCTGCCACCGTGCGCTGCAGATGACCACTGACCACGTGTACCGGGGTGGGCGCCGCCATCTTGCCCACCAAACGGACCGGAAGCCGATCTGTCTCTTCTGGCCCCAGCGCTGCCCCGCTCCAGCCAACGGCACGGGGGGTGGGGGGAGGGGGGAGGAGGGTGCCTCCCCCACACCACGTCCATCACCCACCACCACCCCCCCACAGGGAACCGGGTTTACTGGGGCCACAGAGGGGGAGGCATGGGGGGATGAGGAGGAGGGACCAGGGATGGTTCCACCTGGAGGGAGCGAAGAAGCAAACGGGGGAAGGTCAGTTGACAGGTGGGGATTGTGTTGGGAGGAGGCATTACAAGTGGGAGATTTGCAAGTTATACGAGCATGCCCAGTCGTTTTTCGCCCATGTCAGCCCCCTCAATTCCAGCCTCTGCCACATGAGCTGACAAAGGAATTGAGGCAATTGGTAAGGGAAACTGGTGTGTCCTCAGCTAACACCCTTGCGTTTTTAGAGACACTAAGTTCCACCTATGTCTTTTTACCACATGATTGGAAAAACTTACCAAAAATAAGTCTTACTAATACTCAGTGCAATGTGTGGTTAACTGATTTTCCGGAGAATTGCTCTGTGTATGCTAATGATCCACAAGCAGGCATAACAGCACGCCAACTAGCCGGGGAGGGGAATTACAGTTCAATAGATGCTCAGTCTAGGTACCGCAGAGAAATATATGAAGTAATAGCTAAGCATGCCCTGAGAGCCATGAGGAGATTGCCCACTTCAGACCGGGATAGCAATCTATCTTTCACAAAAATATTACAAGGTCCCACAGAACCATATTCGCAATTCTTGGATTGGCTGCAATTTGCTTTAGACAGGCAGATTGAGCATGACAAAGCCAGAGAGATGCTCTACAGGCAACTGGCTTTTGAAAATGCGAACCCAGACTGTAAAAGAGCTTTGCAGGCCCTTCCTAAAAGGGAGAGCTGCAGCACTGCTGAGCTGGTTCGCGCCTGTCAAGGGATTGGCTCCGTAGGACATCAGACTGCCTGTCTAGCAACAGCACTAAGCGCCCAGCTAAGAGTGCAGGAAGGAGCCAGACCCAGAAGTGGTTGCTACATATGTGGTGCCCCTGACCACTTTCAAAAAGATTGTCCAAGGAGACCCTTAGCAGCAGCACCCCGCAGGCACTCAAACGAGAGGAGGGGGCCAAAAAACTGGAAGCGAGGGGCGTTGTCGCGCACCCTGGTACAACAAATAAATGCAACACAAGGGAATAGGCCAGTGATTTGTGCCCCTCCACCTCAGCGAGCGATTTGTGCCCCTCCACCTCAGCCAGTGCTGGGTTGGACTTATCCAACCAGGACTCAGTCTTCTTAACTTCCACAGAGGTAGTACTAATCCCAACTGGGCTTTGGGGTCCCCTTAGCCCAGGGGTACATGCACTTCTGATTGGGAGATCTTCCACAACCAAAATGGGTTTATTTGTGCTGCCTGGAGTGATAGACTCGGACTCTCATAGTGAGATTCAAATAATGGCCTGGACCCCTTCACCCCCTTGTTTCATTCCTAAGGGACAGAAAATCGCCC